GGCGCCCGCGCGCCGTCGCCTGCATGGGGGGCGACGGCTTGATCGCGACACGCACAGTGCGATGTTGACCATGGTACAGCGCGGACGTGTGGCGGTGTGGCGGCGTGGCGGTTGGGCGCCTGCAAGGGTGCCTTGATGCACGCGCGCAGGGACGCGGCGGCCTCAGAGGCTGGGCGGTCAAGTTGCAAGTGTGATCTCAACTTGTCAATGGTAGAATTGGAAGCAAGGATTGGATCACACCTGTTAGGCATATGCATTCGAATGCACTGAGCAAGCCCCTGCACCTAGCAAGCACCGATACCAGCGACCGTGTTGACGGCGCCACCTTTTCGGCGCCAGTTGATCGCACGGAGATCTGTTCGCACCGGCGCCGCGCTGTGCCGGCGAGGCTGCAATGCCCGCACTTGCTGTGCAGAGCCGGCTGCAGGTCCTCCGCTGCTGCTTGGCGTCACGAGTCGCTGCTTTTGGCGGACAGCGTGCGCGCGGCGTTCGCTGTGTTGGTGCCTGCCCGCGGCGTTGGCTGCCTGTGGCATGTGTGCGCCCGCCCGCGGTCCTCTCTCACTGCAGAGCGCGTTGTTTCTGCACCCCCCCCCCCACGACCCTGCATCTCGGCCGCACAACAGCGTGGGCATGTCATGTGCTCTCCTGTCGCGGCCTCTTTCACCGCACCCGTGCCCCTCGCCGCCAGGCGGCAGCTGGGTGCGGGGCAGTGCTTTGGTTGGGTGCGCACCAGTGCTCGCCGGGCAGGCCCACTCCACGCAGGGCTTCCCCCGGCGCAGCTGCGCCCGGCGATGCGCCCATACTCTGGCGATCGTCCAGGGTGCACGCTTGCGACTTCTCATATTGACTGCTGCCTGACGGCAGCGCCTCAGCCTCAGCCGCTGACTCCCTGACCCCTTTGTGTGTTCCTTGTGTTGCTTGATATGTGCCACGCGCCCAGATGCATCACATACACTGTTTGTTGCTCCTGGCGCAGCTGCAACTGCCCGGTCTCAAACCGTGCGGCGCTGCGCAGTGCTTGGGTTACACCTGCGGCAGCCTGCAGCGCACCCGCTCGCCCCTGGCCCTGCAACAGGCCGCAGCCGTTTGTCCCGCGGTCCCTGCCGCGCGCTCGCTGCACGAGGCGCCAGTTGCCCATCGCATGGCGCCAAGTGCCGCGCCGCGTCCTCGGTCCGCTTTGTTTTGTACGGGCCGGCCCTCATCCCGTGTGCCGCCTGGCGCTGCGCCGGCCCGCATTGTACACATTGTCTGTTATGCTGCCAATCAGCCACGCCGTTGGCTCGCCACCTCGCCCATCGCTTTGGAAGCTCGGTTTGTGGCTGCGCCCCTGCCGGTGCGCCTTGCAATTTGCATGCCAGCCATGCTGCCCGCCGCCAGGAGCACCGCAGCGCATCCCGTTTCGGCCCATGCGGCGGCGCTGCAGGACGCGCCCGCTCCGCAGGCGCAAACCCTGCACGCGGGCCATAGCCATTGCCACGGCCCCTTGGCCAGCAGCCCCCGCACACGGGGCCCCGCGCCCTGCAGCGTTGCGCTCTGCAGTTCTAGACCGAATGGGCGCTCTCGGTGTGCCCCCTCCCTGCCTGTCAATTGTTGGGCATGTGAGGGGCAGCTGCACGAGGTTGGGGCTCTCAGCTAATACTAGATTGAGAATCACAGATGTACACGAAGGTTTGCATGGTGATGGACCCGTCTGTCTAGGGAAGCTTGCTGTGTGCCGCGCTGCTGCACGTTGCTGCACCAAAACGCTGCGCCGCTGCACGTTGCTGCACCAAGACGTTGCGCCGCTGCACGTTGCTGCACCCACATTCACGGCGGTGTTGTAACACCCAGGCAGACCTTGCCTCCAATCGAATGCTGCGTTTAACACGATAACAGCTCCCACTGCTCTCCGTCAGCACGCTTGCTGACTGTTTGCGGAGTGGCATGCCGGCTAGGGCACTCCAGAGGAACCCAGTAATGGGGTGCCTCCCCGCCCGCCGTTTGATGTAGAAAAGTCGGTGGCCTGCCAGGCGTTTGTGCAGGACACAGCTGCGGGCAGCGCATGTGCGGTTGGTGGGTGTTGACCAGGCGCTGGGCTCTGAATCCAAGGGAGCCAGCGACACGCGGTCAAGGAGTGCGCGGTCAAGGTGTGCGGCATTCTGTTGTGAGAGTCTGCCTACTTGACAACCATGTCTCAAAGATATTTTACGTGGCTTTCACTGCGTCGCTGGGCTGTTCAGCAGCCCAAGTCGATGCATTGACAGGGCTATGACAGAGGCACGGGGTCATGAGGTCAGTCAGGTGCCACACAGGCGCCGCTCGGGCAGTGATCGGCAAGCCCAAGGTTGTGAGCCCCGCCACATCGTTGCAATTATTGTTGCGTCGCCGACGCAGCTAACCTGCAGGCCTGATCCAGGCCAGCGCCGGCTCAGATCATCACCGACCCTGACAGGGCAAGGGAAGCGGACAGAAGCCGTACAGGTTCCTCACAGCACAGAGGTCAGACGCAGGGTGCAGGCATGGGGGCAGTGCTTGTGCTGAGGATGTTGCAGTCGGTGGCGCGATCCCGCATCCTGGCACAGCCTGGAGCAGCACAGCCACCCCTTACAGATGCCGGCTAACACGCAGTTTTCTCGTGCGAGCGAACAGCAGGCGTGAGGGCAGGAGCCAGGAGTTCCGACAGCTGGTCTCGACAGCCACAGCAGCGGCCCGCCTACGCAGGACAAGTACCACCGACAGGTGGGCCTTCATGCACCACAGAGCCCACCCATGTCACGCAGGCCAAACCAGACTTTGGCAATGCAGAGGAAAGCAAAGACGCACGCAGCAATCCCTGTGTGGCATGCAGCTAACCCAGCTGGCACCAACCACTCCCCCACTGCAACAGCAGCCAACATGCCGGACTCGCCATCAGGCGGCGACAGGTGCGGTTGGGGCCCGGATGAGCCAGACCACGCCTGCCGCGACCCAGGCCATCCTGACCTCCCACCTGGCCGGCCGGCCGCGGCTGGGTCCCGCTGATGTCACATGGGCAACCTTCTCCCACAAACGGCCGCGCCATGACATCGTCCATGTAGCCCCGGACCCTCTCGTGACGAAACCGCTCCATTTTGCAGGCCCGCTACTGAGTACAAGGCGTTTGTCGGGGGCATCCCGTGGACCCTGGACGATGCCGGCCTCAGGGAGAGTGAGTGGGGCGTCCGGTCCGGTCATCTGGCTGATGCCCGCCAGACACGCCCACCCTAAGACGCAAACCGTCCCCATGCTCTGGCCAGCCACCCAGCCGGCGCCCCCCCCCCCCTCCGCTGCCCGTCACCAACTGCCGCCCGGCAACACCCGCCAGATGTTCCGGCGGTGCAGCCTGCGTCCTGCATGGCACGCGCGCTCGGCCCTCGTCCCGCCCCGAACAACTGCGGACGCGCCTCGCCCGTCACGGCCTGCTGCGCCCGTCACCCGCCGCCGCCCCGCAGTGTTCTCCGCGTTTGGCGCTGACAGGGGGGAGGTGATGCTGGACCGCGCCACCCAGCGCAGCCGCGGCTTTGGCTTCATCTACTTCAAGGTGCGGCGCGGCCAACACACACGCACACATCACACACGTGCACACACACATCACACACACACACACGCACACGTGCGCGACACCACAGGACCGCGAGGGCCTCGACAGCGCCATCAGGGAGAAGCATGACACCGAGCTCGACGGCCGCCGCATCAGCGTAAAGTCGGCCATCCCCCAGGACCAGATCCCGCCCGGTGAGATCACGCGGCTGCGCTGGATTTGATCTGGGGATTTGATCTGGGGATTCAATCTGGGGATCTGATCTGGGGATCTGATCCAGGGGTCCCATCTGGGTGGTGACTTGGGAGGCGGGGGCTGGGGTTGCTTGGCTGCCGCTTTGAGGCCTCTGGAGTTGAAAATTTGTTGCCCCTCAGCCTTGCTGCCAGCTGTGAGGGGCCTGCATGGTGCTGCAGGGGGCTGGGCTGTCTCACCGGGATGCTGCCGCCGCTGTCCTCCAAACGTCGGTTGCAGGGGAGCGCGGGCGCCGCGGCGGCTACGGAGGCGGCCGCGGTGGGTACAGCGACCGCGCCGGCGGGTACGGCGACCGCGGCTACAGGTGAACGCGCCCTGGGATTGGGCTATCGCAGTGCTGTGGCTTTGCCCTGTGATGGCAGCTGCACGTGCCTGCCTCACACAGCTGGGATAGCGTTTTTCTGCAGAGCCCCCTCCTTCGCAGACTGGTTGGCGGGTGCCCCTCTACCTGCCACGCAGCATCTGAAACGCTGCCCCTATTCAATCGGCTGCAGCGAGCAAAGCGAAACCCCCCGCGAGCCTGCCGCCGCTCTCCATCACATCAAATCACGCGCCCCCATGTCGCAACACCGAAACTGCCCCGCTGCAGGGGTGGCGGCGGCGGGTACGACCGCGGCGGTTACGACAGGCGAGCAAGCGCGGCCGGCAGGCGGGCGGTTTGTGCGTTTGTGTGCTTCTGCTGCGGCTCGAGGCTGGCCAGCCACGCTCATCGGGGGCCCTCCCCGGGCCGCAGCTGCCTGGCTGCGGCCCATCTGGGGCGATGCGGCCTCCTTCTTCTTGACTGCACAACTTGCGCCTGACCCGGCCACCCCTCCCTCCCCGCACCCCTAATCGGTAGGGGCGGCTATGACCGCGGGGGCTACGACCGCGGCGGCGGGTGAGCGGGGCGGCGCGCTCTCATAAGTCTTCAGACAGTGTCACCGCGGCGCCGCAACGTGTCACCATGTGGCCACCCCGCGGCCGCGGCGCCGCTCCCAGCGACCCTGCTGCCACTGCGCATCCTCACCAGCCCTTGCACCCGCCCAGAGCCCCTTCCTCACCGCCTCCCGCCCTCCCGATGCCCCCGTCCATCTTGACAAAACCCTTTGACGTTCCTGCAATGCAGCTACGGGTGAGAGCCACGCATGCTTTGCCGGAGGCCACTGCCCCAGCCGACCTGCGCCAGCTGCTGGCTGCTTTCCTCCGCCCACCTGGCGGCCCGGACTGCCAGGCTGGCCCCTGACACCGCCCCGCCCGCACCGGATGCACGCCCTGACATACACAGGGGTTATGACCGGGGCGGCTACGATAGGGGCGGCTATGGCGGGTACGATCGCGGCTACGGCGGCGGCGGGTGAGGGCGTATGCACCCCCCACCTCTGCGGGCGCATCTCGCCCCTCATATGCGCATCTGTCTCGTCTGGCACTCGGGCCCCGCCTGCAGCTGCGCTCTGCGCCCAGCATAATGCGCTCCGCGGCCGGAGGGCTCCCTGCTGCGCTCCCCGCTGCGTCGCACCCCCCACCCGACCCCACCCCTGTGGACGCATCTCACCCGCTGCGACCTCCTGCCGCCGCCCTCCCTGGACGCCCCGCAGCTATGGTGGCGGCTACGGCGGGTGGGTGCCGCCATGGAGCTTGGCCGCTGCCCTCGCGGTTCCTCCCCTTAACCCCTGGGACTGCCTGCCGGTGCCCTGCAGTGCCGCCACCTGCTGACCTGCCGTGGCGGCGCGTCAACTCCTGCTTGTCCCCGGGCCAAGTGGCGCCCACCCTGCCTCCAACCGCCCGTTTGCTCCCTTTCGCACTCCAAGCTCCACCATGACTGATCTCTCGCCCACAACGCCGCCATCGCCCCGGCCCATGCTCCTGCCCCCCCTTCCTGCCCCCCTGTAGTGGCGGCTATGGCGGCGGTGGTTACTCGTGAGCGCCACCCACGCCGCGCGGGCCCTGTATTGCATGTCTGCACGCCGCCTCTCCGCGCCAGCAAGCCGAGAAGCCTGCATGCTGCCTGCTTAGCATCATAATGTCGCGAGGCGGTTGGACCTTTCGGTACCCCGCGCCCTTGTCTGTGCTCGCACACCTGCATGGACACAGCTGCACACGCGCCGTATGCAGGCACACACGCGTACACATGTGTTGGTTTGTACTCAATGCATATTGCCCCCCTTCTTCCACCCACGCCCTCCTACCCGTGTACTCGTAGTGGCTACGAGTCCCGCGATCCGGGGGGCTACGGCGGCGGCTACGGCCGTGACCCTTACGGCGGGTGAGGGGCGCGCGCGGCTCGCTGCGCGGTGGCGCCAGGTGGTCCGCTACCAGACGACGGGAGCGCCAAACGGGAGCGCGGCGTGCAGAGCAGCCGGCCGGCCTGGCTGCGGCCGGGGCTGCGCGGAGGCTTGTCAGATTCAGCAGGGAGGGGTCATCATACCGTGTACACCCACACCCAAACGCACACTCACCCGGCCAACCGCGCCCCTCCACCCCGCGTGTGACGCTCTTGACAACCCCACAGGGGCGGCTACGGGGGCGGCGGCGGCGGCGGCTACGGTGCGCCGCCGCCCGCCGAGGGCGGCTGGGGCGCGGGCCCTGAGCGCGGGGCGCGCGCGTACACGCAGCCGAGGGCTGACCCCTACTCCCGCCCGCCGGGCCGCTGAGCGCGCTCGTCGTGTCGGCCTTGCTGCGGGCCGCCGCCGTATGCCAGCGGAGGCGCGGCCGCAGCAGGCCGCAAGGGCGCGCGGCTGCCGGGCCTGCTGGCAAGGGGTGGCGGGTGTCTGGTGCGCAGCGATGGCGTGGGCGCGTCGTATGCGCAGTGGAGGACGGCCTGATTTAGGGTACGATGTGGGGGCTCGGGCACAGCGCTGGGCGCAACGTGGGACTGGGAGCGCGGCCCCTTTGAAGGCTGTGGCGGTTGCCTGGATGCACGGTGCCGTGAGTGGGGGTAGGGTGCGGCTGGGCGGCAGGGAAGGGTGGCTTTACTGTGGTGCACTGCTGCCTCGGGATGTAACGCCGAGGTTTTGTCATGTGTCGTGGGTCTCAGAATAGCACAGGCGCTCGGATGAGCCGGCTGATGCATGGATGGGCAGCAGATGGGCAGCAAAAGCGCTCTGCTGGTGCATCATCAAGCGCTCTGCTGGTGCAAATGATTGATCCCGGGATCAGATAATGCCTGGCCAGCTGTCCTTTATGATATATGGTACCGCAAGGCTTGATGTTCTGTTAGGCTATTACCCCCTGTTTGTACTCTGCACATTTGAAGTGACGAAACGCGATCAAGAGCAGATCACTTGCAAACGCGCTTTCCGTCATGAGCTCAGCGCTGAGAGTGCTGTGCTTGGCAGCACGACGTGGAGCACGCGCCAGGGTACCTTCAATCGCCTCAGATGCCGTTACCCCGCCGTGGTGGTGCAGGCGCCAGGCGCGCGGCATGTGGCAGGACAGCAGGTGGGCGAGTGCACGGATGCGGCGTCCCAGCGAGAACTCTACCCGCTGCAGAAGCAGAACAGCACAGCATAGCCGAAGCAATCACCTGTTTTGAGGGCCGTCGAGCACATTGTTGCTCGACCGCCCCTCAGATGCTGCAACAGCCCCCAGCACAAGCCCCGGCCCCCCTGGCCCCCGCCCCGCGCGCCAGGGGTTATGAGCACTTTGCGGGCCGCGGCCCCGTGTGGCGGCGGCCCCTGGTAATCAGGACATTTGGCGCCCTGGGGCTGGCAGGGGGCGCCGTCTACTTCTCGAGCCTGGAGGAGGTCCCATACACGCACAGGCAGGCTGCCCCACATCGCATTTTCAGCATATCCCCGCACTGGGCGGCGCATGTATTGCCACCACCTGTTTCGCAACCAACAATGTGCACCGCGACTATCAGCCGAGGCGGCGCCACCCGGCCCACAGGGGCGGCATTCCGGATGCAAAGTGGGTCTGGCGGCGGCCCTGACGCCTGCTGGCCCCGCGAGCCCCGCGGACGGCCCCTCTGCTCACAGTGGACGCCGCGACGCCCGCGGCGCCGCCCGGCGCCCCGTCTGCCCCCCCTCCCCTGCACCCGCAGGCGTCATGCGATCCTGATCAGCCAGGCCACAGAGGCGGCCCTGGGAAAGCAAGTCTGGGAGGAGGTGCGGCGGCATGAGCTCGTCAATACATCCCTGTTTTTTTATCGCCGGTGCAGCCAGTCGGAGCGCCGCGGCGCTTGCGGCCGATGGGCTCCCCCCAAAACAGGCCCTGATAGCGTCCGCGGCACGCCGATGCTGCGCGCCGTTGCGCGAGCTGCCATGACGACGGGCGTCGCCCCATTAGAATCCACCATGATCTCAGCGAGCAGCTGCCAACGGCTCGCAAGGGGCCAACAGGCGCCCTCGCCGCCAGGGCCAGACCCCTCTTCACACTCGCCGCTGAGCAGCAGCTCCTTGCATGCAGCTGCCGCGTGTGAAGCGAGGCGGCGCTTTCCAACGCGACACGGCGCGACGCCCGCGCCCGCCCCGCCGAACGCCAGACGATCCGCGCGGCTGTGGAGAGCCGCTCGCTGCTGCCGCCGCACCACCCAATGTCCCAGCTCGTGCGCCGCGTGGGGCGGCGCATCGCAGAGGTGCGCGCGCCGCCGGCGGGGCGCGCGTGCAACAATCATGGCTGACCCCGGGGTGGGGACAAAGTCGTCGTGGCTTGCCTCTGCGGCCATCCACATGCCACCCTGCCCATACCAAAAGTAGCAGAAGGATATTATCATCACAGCACCTCTAGCTCACCGCAGGAGGTGCACAACGTCACAGCAGCACTGTCAAAGTTGCTGGGTTCTATGTTGACTTGTTCGGCGCCAGGCTGACGAAACACACCCCGTACTATGAGAGCTGACAAGAACATGTATGGTACGAGATACAGTGCGTGCGTGATTGCCCCGCGGTCATACTGCTTTCGTGTAGGTGGCGTCCGATGGGGAGGGCGGCGGCTACAGCAGCCACATGAAGAACATCCAGTGGGAGTTCGCGGTCATCCACGACGACCAGGTCAACGCGTTCGTGGTGAGAGGTTTGACCGGGCGGGCCGGCGACGGGCGTCGCATGAGCTTGCTGCCCGGGCGCCCGGACGGCGTTCCGGGCTTTGGTCGTGGTTGACCCTGGCCAGCGGTTCTGGGGGCGGGGGCGGGCACTCATGCCGATGCTGAGCTGACAGGATGGGCAGGTGTGCAGCTGGATAGGCGCGAGTGTTTATTGCTCACCGGATGAGAAAGGCTGCCCTGAGGGCCTGCATCAGCAAGGGAAGGGGAGAAGCGGCGACCCGGGCGGCGGCAGGCTGCCCTCGAGCACCCACGAGCGTCCGGCGCCCCTGCCGCCCGCGCACCCCGACGCGCCGCCGCCGGGTGCTCGCGGCCGCACGCAGGCACCAGGAGGCAAGGTGGTCGTTTTCACAGGTGTGCCGGTGCACCCGTGCAGGTAGCCGCCAACCGCGCACACCCTGCCCCCTCTCTCCAGACAGCACGAGCGGCGCCGCCCAGCCTGCGCCCTTGGCTTCTTGCGCTTTCTAGCATACCGTAAGATCAGCCGCGTGGCCCGCACACCTCATCAAACCCTGCCCAACAAAATGCAGCAAACATGCACCTCGTATTGAATTCTCATGTCTCCCCCCAGGCCTCCTGCGCCTGATGTCGTCCGAAGATGAGCTGGCGGCGGTTATAGCCCACGAGGCGGCCCACGTCGTCGCGCGGCACATAGCGGAGAACCTCAGCCGGGTGCAGGTGAGCGGCAGCGGGTTGACTTTCGGTTGACCGACGCGGCGCCTGGCCGCGCGCGTGCTGGCGCAGTCCAGTGGGTGTAGACCAAACAGGTCGAATCTTGGCCTCCATGCCGGGAGCCGGGGAGCGGAAGTCCGCGTGGTGGCGCTGCGGACTGCCGCCGCGCGCGTGGGTGGCGAGACGGCGCACTGCCCCTCCACAACCCGCCTCTCCCTCGCGCGACGCCGGCCCCGTCTGTTTGCG